GCCAATCAGAGTGCGCCTTCAATGCTATCCACTGTTTTGGTATATACTAATCTTGATTATTCTCAGCAGCCCTTCTAAGTTTTATCCACAAGTAAATTGAAACGATAATTCTGCTATAGCTTGAATATAACTAAGAGGTGATTGTGGGTACTTGAATGTACTTTTTTCTTAGCTTGGTAATCAAACTTAAAGTTTTAGAAATAAAAATATTTCTAATTGAATCATTATTAACTGAGTGTGAAAAACTGTTACCTTTAACAGTATAAAATGTTCACAAATGCTGTAGGTCTCCAAATTGTTGCATTAATAAACTTTTAGACTGGGAGTAAAGAGGAAATGTGTTGATGAATTGAGTTGCATTAACTGACTTATTATTCTGTCGAAAGTATGATAATCCTGTTTGCAATGACAGTGTCCTTTCATGACATGAAGATGTTTTCTTCTAATTTATTCTATTTATGCTACAAGTATTTTGACTTTAAAAAAAGAGAGCAAAGACTTTGACTCTAACATGGTTTAATTTAAGGAAATGCTTTAGTCCCATGATTTATGTATGTTCAAATACCAGTAAATACAAATTATCTCACCTCTTCGACATGAAGTTTCTCATAGTCAGCTGATTATCACTGTGAATCGGAAGTTTTTTACTTTCACAATAGTCCGACAGTTCAAGCCCTGTGATTGGCTAAGTACAAAACTGGTCCCAGTCTCGCACGGCTTAGAAGCCATGTGTCGCTGACTTTGACCATTCAGTTACGTCCACGCGTTGCATTTGAATTTCTTTCTGCCGTATTCCAGTGGCGTGACTCTTCAATTTTCTTGTATTTCTCTTCTAGACTCTAAACTATCAAAAAATATCGGAATTTTTCAGAAATATCGCAAAATTTTATCAGTATGCGGCTTAAACAGTTACTCGTGTACTCGGGACTTGTACTACTTCTTTGCACTTTGTCATCATGGGCTGCAGCTGACGAAGTGGAGGTCGAAGATGAAGAAGATTTGGACAGCGATGGGGAAAGCGAACCAGAAGATAAAGTAAGTGTCAAAATAAATGAATGCCTGATAAAAATCGCTGCTCAAACTTAGTCATCGACGGTAACGTTTTGCAGGGCAAGGAGAAAAAGAAGGCACCTGAAATTGAACCGTACAAACCGCCAGTTATCAGTCTTGAAAATGAAGACTCGGTATTTTTTTCCGAACCTTTTGCAATCCGTGGCGAATTTCAGAACAGGTAAGCACCATTCCTTTTTAGATTGCGTGTGTTTAAATCATTCTCTGCCTACTGTTACAGCCTTTCCTAGTAGCCTGCATTAAAGCGATCGCCGGTTTGAAAACGTATGATAGGCTGTCTTGCAAAAGGAAGTTTGCACGAGGGCTTGATGTTTATACAGTAGCGTAGTTTTCGTTTTACAAACTGCTATAATCACATTTCTTTTCTCCTTTATTGTATGCTGTGCACCTTTGACAAAGTCGTGGCATTTATGATGTTTCTCTTTGAGTGGCTGGACAAATGTACTATATTTTTTGTTAACTCATCACGCCCAAATTTTTGTTTCTCACATTTATTGCCTTGTTAGATAAGCAATACATATGTTGTCTTGATTTTTGAGAAATGGAAAGAATCGAATTGCTTTGTTAGGGAATCTATAGATAACTAGTGCTATGCGAATTTTTTCAGGAATCTAGCCCAACAGGTGCAAGACTCTGACATTTGCTATGTTTTTTAAGGCATACATAATCAGTTTTACTATTGTAGAACAAGGGAGTGTTCCAAGCACATATGTGTGTAAAAAAAAAAAAGAATGCTTTAAGAAAGGAGGAAAAAAAGAAAAGACCTTAATGACAAAAGTTTTTTTTTCGGATAAAGCTTGTGATTAATTTGCAGAATCTTTTTTGGTGTGTAGCAGATGTATCTACAGAATACATAACTTTTTGTGTGGCAATTAACCAATGAGATCCCAGCAACTCAGTTTGCTTCTCAGAGAAACAATAAAAGCTGTTTTAGTAGGCAACAGGTTGCAATATGTGGGCTACTACTGAGTATGAGGAACAAAATTGTCTGGACCAAAAAAAATATTGTGGTGTCTTGAAGCATACCAAGACATGCTTGAAAACCTTCTCTTTTAATTTGGAATGCTCAAAGTGCATCATAAGTTTGCTTTCAATTCCCTGGCATCTTTTTCTCACACAAAGTTTCCTAATAAACTTATCATTGCAAAAATACTGGTTTCTCTGTCAAGTATAAAATAATATTGTAAGAATTCATTGTTGAACAAGCTGCACCTGTGGTCATGTTTCTTTTTAAGAAAGAAGTACTTAAAGTGTGTGAAAACATTTTCAGCCAGGATACTGTTTGATTGACCACCAAATTCTTAGATCTCAAAGTACAATTGATGGATGACAAAGAGCTTAGAGAATCACTCATTAGATCTTGGGGGATGGAAAGGTTACTTACTAGAGTGGCGTAGGGAATGTATGTGATGTGCTAGTTGATTGCATTAAGTATTTTCCTTCATCCAAATCACCTCAGACTGGCAAAACATCTGAGACTACCCTTATCAGCATGCCACAGTAGTGAACAATTATTCACCGAAGTGGAGGTGATCAGTGGTGGATATTAACAAAGCTGTCTTGCAGCTTATCAAATATCCACCACTTTTACTGATGCTGAGGTGAAAAATTGCTTTAGTATATAACTCGTAGAAACCAAAAAGATTAGTTTATTTCTGTTAAAATACCAACAATGGTCAGAAATGATTTTGTTCAAAGTCAACAGAATCTTTTAAATCTACTCTTAAGACATACCTTTTTAAAAATTACATGGAATTGTAAGAATCCTTAGCTGTTTTTTAAGCTTTTCTCTTAATGTTACATCATTCATTGTTGTAAAGTGTTGTTGGTTCAGTAGAGAAACAGCTCTATATAAAAGATTATTATTATTATTATTATTATTATTATTATTATTATTATGTCGCAGAGAAATCAAATGAATGCTACATTCTAATCAGGCAGCACAGGGCGAAAACCGTAACCTGTGAGCCATGGAGTAAAAAATAAATGTACATTAATAATTATTATTATTATTATTATTATTATTATTATTATTATTATTATTATTATATGCTGTAACAATGTGAAATGCTTATTGGATGAGATGCACCCAGCTTTAACCCTGTAGACCCAAGGATCGGTATGCATATTCTCTATACTGTTCTCTACACATTTCCAAGTGTGCTGATTAGGAGACTTGCTTAACAATTGTGAGCTCCTTCAGTTGGTGATAATTTTGTTCATTCTTGTAACCTTCATGTGTAATTTGAGTGTGATATTGTAAGGAGAAATTGCATGTACTTGCTAGTCACTCTTAAGGTTGAAGAGTTAAGAGTCTTTGATTTACATCAATGTTTTTATACATTTTCACCTTTATATACTTCATTTATGTTTTGTTGCATTTGAACAAAAAGATAAACTCTATCTCTGTAACAACAGATGGTTGAAATCTCAAGCCAAGAAAGATGGAGTTGATGTTGAAATTGCCAAATATGATGGTAAGTTGGGGGTTTTTTTTTTTGTGCAAAAAAACTAAAGAACTTGAAATACTGACTGTTGGTAACCTGAGTAAATTATGGGAAAGAAAAAAGCATTGTTTCAATGTCAGTAAGATCCCCAAGGCAACACCCAGCTAGTAAGAGTACTTCATTGTATAGGGGTGCTTTGTCTATTAAATGATCTCTCCAAGAGACTTACTGCTAGAGAAAAAATGTTTTTCTGTAATTGTTTACCTCATTTTATTGGGGGTGTTTGATAAACCAAAAAGAGAACACTTAACTGCCCTTAAATGTTCCTATGATATCTAGGGTAGATATTTTGATTTAAAATTTTTGTCAGTCAGTTTTAGAGCTTTTTGTATTGAACAAGAGCCTTTCTCTCATACCCATAATTTTCAGAGAATAGTTTAATGGCAAAGGTTTCTTTTAATTATTTAATGTTATGTTTTCATGTCATTTTTGTATTTCTTGTTTTAATTTTTCTGTCTTGCTCTTAAAAATGGTAGAGATGTTGCTCAGCACTTTGAGGCATGCTCTGTGTGTTTTTGTGATGGGCAAATTCTGTTTTGTGCAATGGCTCTGTAGCAGACTTTTACATATAATTTCACTTGCCCAATAGGTGAATGGTCATTTGAGGAGCCTGCCACCAAGTTATTCAGTGGGGATCTGGGACTTGTTCTCAAGGTTTTCTGAATGGCTTTTTTTTCATAAACTTAAAATAACCTCTCAGTTACCAGCAATCATGTACTCATTGACCACTTTCATAAATGGCTGCCGAATTAATATTCTTTTGTTTAAATTTAAATTAGCCGAGGCCAGAAAGGCTAATTTTAATTTAAACAAAAGAATATTAATTTGGCAACCATTTATGAAAGTGGTCTGTACATGGTAGACAAAGTGAAGAAATGTCCTTTACAAACGACTTGCAAATCTGACAGAGAAGATCAATTTGTTAATTTTGCAATATGCCAAGTAAACAGTAACAAAAACTCTTGATATAGATGGATCAAGGAATACTGTAAGTTAGGGTCACTGGTCAACTCTGGACCAAATTGATACATCCTTTGAATTTTACAGATATTAGATCTCTTACTATCTGTAATTTGAACTTTTCTTCAGTCTAAGGCAAGACACCATGCTATTTCAGCCATGCTGAGTAAGCCTTTTGATTTCAAGGACAAGCCATTTGTGGTCCAGTAAGTATCTGGTAGAATAATTTTCTGTTTATCCTGGTTGTCACCTATTATCTAGGGTTAATTCGTAATAGCTTAGTTTCAGTTCCTACTCAAAACTGTCACTGTTACACTCAGAAAACCACAAGTACCTGACAAAGGAGTAGGATATTTGTGTTAAGATCAAACCACAAACTGACAAGGTGACTGTTTATAGCTCAGTTTTCTCACCCTCAAAACATGCTAATCCAAGCCCATACTTAAGAAGCCCATGATTGCTAAAGTTTGATTTTGAATGGTTTGCCATAAAAAGAAAAATTGTAACTTTTTTAAATTTTCCTTTAAGGTATGAAGTAAAATTTCAGCAGGCAATGGAATGTGGTGGTGCTTATGTCAAACTTCTTTCTCAACAAGACTCTTTTGACCTGGTAAGGAGGCAGATAACTACTTCTCAGGTTGTGAGAACATCCATCGCTGTCTCACTAAAGCAACAGTCCATTTAATATGACTCTCACCTGCACAATTACACTAAATGATTCACTGTGTGCTCCTTGGTTCAAAGCATTTACTGTGTAACTGTTCAATGCATTTTTTTCAATTTTCACCTGTATTTTAGACATAGTTCATCAAAATCAACTAATTTTAAGAAAGTTTTTGTGAAAAAAGTGTTTTTTTTATCTTTAATTTCTCATACAGTATGTAATTTACAGTTTTGTTTTGTTTTGTTTTTTTTTTTTATAGAAAACATTCCATGATAAAAGTCCCTACACCATTATGTTTGGTCCTGATAAATGTGGTGAAGACAAGAAGGTACAGTGCAACATATTATTTTACTTAAATACTTGCAAACCAAGCTTTTATCAATTTATGTCACCTGTCTTGGAATTGATTAAAAAATCTCTTTATCATAGTCAAGTTTGTGGCTAGAAACAAAGGGAATTAAAACAGCTTTGTCAGAAACTTACTGGCAGGATAGGAAATAAAATAAATCAGGGCCAGTGAATGAATGAGTAATGGAGTACATGTTTTCCCCTTCTCCCAGGGTTTTAAGAAGTGATGCTTTTTGACATTGCTGTTCCTAGCTATGTGCAGGACACCTGTTACATAAGATCCTAGTGACAAGATGCAGAAAAAAATGTCATTCTGTCTCCTTTAATTTTATTTCTACACTAAAAATTTATTATCTCTTGATCTTATGTTATCTATGCACATGACCCTTTCCATGTTGATGATCCTAGCAGTGGGCAGGACACCTGGCATTAGGATTTTTTGTGGTTTGGCTACTTTTTAGATCAGCTTTTTTGTTTTTGTGCCAAATAACTTTGATTTGTTTGGTTTTGGTGTTCTTTGTTGTTTGCAAATTTTCCTTTTTTAGCTTTTGGTTTTCAGTTTTGGTCAAAAATACTCGCATGTTTTCAGATTTGGTATCTGATGTGGATTTTGGTTTTTTCCTATTTTGGTTCCAGTTTCTCTTTAATCCGAGCAGCAATTATGTGCCTCCAGGGAAATCCATCTCATGGGGATGCTTCTGGCAAGACAATAAAAATATCTCCTTGACTTCTTTAATTTTTTTTTATCTTCTTTCAGCTACACTTCATCTTTAGACATAAGAATCCAAAGACTGGCGAATATGAAGAAAAACATGCAAAGAAACCTACTGGAAACTTCCAGAATGTTTTTGATGGCAAAAAGACACACTTATTCACCTTGGTAGTGCAACCTGACAATTCATTTGAAGTATTTGTGGACCAAACAAGCGTGAGTTCAGGAAACTTGTTGGAAGATGTGACTCCGCCAGTCAACCCCCCTAAGGAGATGGATGATCCACATGACAAAAAACCAGATGACTGGGATGAGAGAGAAAAAATTCCTGATCCCGATGCTGAGAAGCCCGATGATTGGGATGAAGATGCTCCTGCTAAAATTTCTGATCCTGATGCAAAGGTTTGATTAGTTTTTTTCTTTTGTTTAAATTCTGAGTAGACACTTTCCATAACTCCTTGCTAACGAGAAATTGTTATTAACCTTTTAACTTGGAGAAGTTATTAACAGATAATTGCTCCCTGTAATATTTCTACATTATCCAGCAAACAGGTAGTGAGAATACTCAAACTTATCAGGTTGAAGTGGTCATCTTGATCTAGGAAATTTTTCTGATCCGGTTGGAGCTATTGTTATTTGACATGCTGGGGTTCTCCTGATATTGATTTATGGGTGGAGCCTGGGGTTATGGATCAGTAAAAATAAAAATCTCAGAGGCTGACCTAAAAAGTGTTCCAAGTTAGTTCTAGTAGATGTTTTCATCTTGTCAATAGTTTTCTTTTTTTTTTTGTAATAGCATCTATTATTTGGAATTTTTAGAAACCTGATGATTGGCTGGATGATGAGCCAGAGTATGTCCCTGATCCAAACAGCGTCAAACCTGATGACTGGGATGAAGAGGAGGATGGCGAATGGGAAGCGCCACAGATTGGTAAGACTTTAATCTGTTGTTTCTGTGAAGTGAGTTCTGCTCTCTTAATGCACTTCTTGTGGTCTCTCCGTGTTTCCCAAATTTCAAAAATTGGGGTCACCTGCAAAGTTTCCTTTCAAGAATTGTAAAATGCCCAATGTAGTCTGGTCAAAATTCCCTGCAAAGTGTTATAAAGTGCATCAGAGAATAGTACTGGATATTACCATATATAAAAATGCCACATCATCATCATCATTAAAGTGCCACTGAGAAAAAAATTGACCATTTTGTTTTGGCCCAAATTGTTTACACAATGTTGAAGTTAAGACCCTTTTTGCCATTAAAAACTCAAACAAACCTGCGATGACCAATTTTTACCGCTTCAAAGTCGTCCAAAAATCGTCTGCCATTGCTGATAACATGTTCCAACCAAGCCCGCAAGAATGTCATCATGACGTCAAAGGCTCAACAAACTTATGCTTTGCTTTGTCACAACTCTCTTTGTTCGCTGCACAGAGAATCACACATATTACTTTTTTAAGAACTGTTTTGTTGTCAGTCGGGAAATGTTGACTTTTTCAGACGATGAATTGTCCCAGAAATCATCTGAAGCTTCTGTGGATAGTTTTGCGCTGACAAACAATGAATTTTTGCCGTGCGAATAACGATTAAACACAGAACGGCACAGACCCCCTATGTGGCTTCTGTGGTGGCATTGCTTGGTATCGCCTTCGAACTGTATTTTTTGCTTGTCATAAGGGATTTTCCTTTTATGTAAGAAATGATCGGGTAATTAGTTAAAATAGTTTTCGGCAATGGCTAATTGTGTATCTGAAGGCAGTTATTGGGAGTTTGTGAAAGCCATTTCTAAGCTATCAATGTGTTTTCCCCAATGCATTTGGTCAATGATCTCATCAACCCTTTCCTACGTGTTTTTTACTATCGGTGCTTTGAGAGGTTTGAAGTGAACTCTGTTGTTGAGTTGCACTTTGGCCTCTTTTGTTTTTTCTGTCTTATTCAGGATGACTATTGTTGTGAGGCTTCGGTGAGGTCTAAAGCAGGGTTTGTTTCAACTCTTTTAGAACTGTGACCTCATTGCATTACAAAGCAGTTTTTGGCTTGGACGCAGTCTGCAAGTAGCGTTATGACAATTTTCCAAGTAGTTCTGAAGGGCAATAGAAGACTGAACCGGTGGCATTCAGTTTGATATGAAACAGAAGTGGTTCTTTGTTTTGTCCCTGAAAGGTGTAACGGAGGCACATTCGTCTTGCGAATAAATTTCGCAAAAGTTGGCCTGATTTTAAATTCGTTTGTCACGGTTGTTGGATTGAATTTGAGATCCTTTCGTAGCACCCTGACTTGGCTGTCAGATGGTTGATAGTTTGACAGGTTTTTAAAGAAATTTTCATTTTCTTGGTTTTTGGCTGCAAGCCTACATTGTGAAGTGTTTTTACACTCTGTGTCTTAAGCTGTTTGTTCTGCTTTCGCTGATATTAAAGCCAGCTTTTTTTAGAATCAGAGCACATAATTATATTTTTCATTTCTTGTATAAAAGTGAGCTCTTTGAGGTCAGAAATCTCAATCCTCAATTTGGCTATTTTATCATTCTTATTTACAATGTTCACCTAGTACTTTCCTTTGTGTAAGGTATTCTGTCAGAGAGTTGTTAAAGGTGGATATTGATCAGCTCATATGTATAGGTGACAAAATCAATGTGGATTCGTAGACTTCGCCTTCTGGCGTCGAGATTGCACTGAGGACGGTTTTCTTGTCCCTTCTCTTCTTGAACGGTAGGCACTGAACCCAAAATAATTCTTAGCCTAGATCCTTCAAAGTACACAGATCTCTCGAAACAGTCCTCCGAGAAGTGTTCGGAGTAGATCACAAATATTTCTGTAGGATTGAAGGTTACTCGCCAAGGTCGCACAAATCGCATCCGTTTTTCCCGCTCTGATCTATTCTAAAGGCTCCGATGCAGAGAAATACCTGCAGCATGGTCTGCACGATTACTTCAGCTTTGAATTACGCATCAATGCCCAGTCATTTTTATTTAGTTTTTGTAAGAATAGAGTAAAGCACTCTGTTATGTTTACTTGACATTTTGCCATGTGAGATTTTTGCATTGAGCCTTTGACGTCACTTCCTCTGAGTCCTGCGATCAACTTCCAGAACATGATCAAATAATGGCAGATGTGAAATTGTGAATTTAACAGCCTTAAAAAAGATATTTCTGGTGCTCGGTCTAAACTGAAATTTGGCAGAGTAGGTGAAGGAGACACACTGAACACAAAAACGAAAAAAAATTATGTACGAAAACTTTGATCTCAAGGGCACTTTAAGTAATTAGGATTGTCTCATTTGTTTGATTGTTTCTCTGTCACAATCTTGGAGGCAAGGATATAGATGAGGTGTTTTTTTGTTTTGTTTTTAAGTTAAATGAACAGATATTAATTGCTTTCTTCTGGCAATACATATGGTAAATTGTATTTTTACATGTAAATGTGCAAACTTCATTGAGTGAGAATTACATTCTGGATGTTGCTGTTGTCTTCAGCAAACCCTAAATGTGAAAAGAGTGGTTGTGGAGAGTGGAAGGCCCCTCTTATAGATAATCCTGCATACAAAGGCAAATGGTCACCACCACTGGTTGATAATGCTGACTACAAAGTAAGTAATGCGTTGGTTGACTCTTAGGTTCTCATTATTGTATCAAAATGGATGGAGTAGATGGGTTGTGCAGGGATTTCATTCATTTCAGAAGTAGGCATATATTAGGACAAAAATAGGCAGAATACGGTTCAGGGGTAATCTAGGCAGATTTGTCAGCAGTCTTTCTCTTCTTTCCATTCAATATGGTGCAGAGTGAACCGGTTATGTTGTTGATTGAAATCCTAGAACCTGTTACAAAAATCACCCAACGACCAAAAAGGAGACAAAGTATCAACAAAAAACACCTTTATTGATGACTGCCCTAAGAATAATGTTGAATGTCTTTTAAAAAACATGCAAAAACCAGGAGGTGGAATGGCCATTGTAGCCAGGTCTGCTGTGGAGATTAGCCACCAGAATTTGCCAGTTGCCAGCTTCTAATGAAATCCCTGGTT